ATCAGCCTAAAAAAAATTAAGACAAATAATAAACAATGTATTAGAATTAAGAAAAGTCCAGCAAAGTTGCTGGGTCCAAGATAAACAATAAGAAATCAGTGATATTCTCGTATACTAGCAACACCGATGAGAACATTTTGGTCTATAAATTCAATTTTGATCAAAATCCCAAGGGCATTTCAGAAAAAAATTACAAGCTTATCTTAAAATTTATATGAAAGAGTTAAAGTCCAAAAGTAGCTAAGTCAATTTTGAGAAAGTAAGGACCTTTGCCCTTTCAGATATCTAGACTTAATATATATATAGTAATTAAAACACTGCAATATTGGTGGAGGGATAGACAAATATACCAATGGGTGAAATAAATTCCCAGAAACAGACTCTCAGATATATGTAAAGCAGTCTCTTTAGTGATATTACAAATCAACAGGGAAAGAATGAGTTTTTAAATCAGAGGTTCTGAGACATCTCAAGGGAGAGAAACATTAGATCCCTACTTCACTTGATAAAGATCCAAATATGAAATTGAAAACTTTAAAATTTTTGAAAGAATATGTGGCAGAATATCTTTATGGAATTGGAGTAGGAAAGAATTTCTTAAGTGAAACATAAGGAGCACAAAATATACAAAAATATTTATATATTTACTATGTTAAAATTTAAAAATTGACTGTTGAAAAACATGATAAAGTTTAAAAGACAAGCCACAGATTGAGAGAAGATATTTGCAATGCACATGCTTGATAAAAGATTCGTATCTAGAATATTAAAACAAAATTTTTTCCCATTCCTTTTCAATTGGAGAATTGGCAAAGGAAATGAACAGGTAATTCACAGAAGTGGAAACTGATCACTTTTAGGTTTGCAAGACAAAAGGATTAAAGGACTCCGAGCCAAATGTTTATCATGCCAGGGACTTTATTTCCAGCAAACCTGGAAGGGAGACTGAAAGATCAGTTCCCGCCCCCATACAGACTAATAGAGGTTTTATAGAGTTTGAATTAGGGGAAAGGGTTTGGTAGCTATTCTGAGCATTCAGCACTTTGCAACAGCTCTGCAGTTTTCTTGTTTTACACGAGATTTTGTTTTGCACAAAATCTGGTTTTTCTCAGAAAGCACTTTGCTTAAGTGAAAGGGAAGGGTCAGGGGTGAGGAAGGGGTTAACATGGTTGTGCTTATGCTAAGCTGATCTGTGAGGCCTAATAATCACTTCTGTGTCCAGTAGTCAGGTTGAACATTTTCTCATGTTTATTGGCCATTTGTATTTTTTTGTGAGTATGCCCTTTTCTATTTATTAGTAAAATGACTTTATATGTTATGCATAGCAACTTTTTGTCATACTTGTTAGAAATATTTTCCCTGGTTCTTCATTAGTTTTAAATTTTTTCTTAAAATTCTCTTTATTGAGTATTATTTAAACATATTTAAACCTATAATTCTTTATTTTCTTGTTGTTGGGAAAATATAGGAAAATGGTCAGGGCCCCTCAGATGTTCAGAATCCTGCCAGGCATTTGCTGTGATTAGATTGTGTTTGGGCGGAGTTAGTGCGCCTGGGTGGCACCACCACCTTGGCTGGAGTTTACTGCCTTGGGCCGCTCACAGGGCCCGGGAGTGGACGTGCCTTTCCAATCTGTGGCTTCCAAGGACCTTTTTGCCGGTTACCTAGCTCATAGACCTGCGTGTAAAGGGTCTGGGGACCCGGCCTGGCATATGAAAGGTTTGTGACGAGTCTGTGAACGGGCTTGAGGTGTCTGTGAGCTCCAGACCTGGCTCTGCCTTTACAATTGGCCCAGTCGGTGCAGGATCACCTGCAGGTAAAAGAGCCAGAGCTCAACAGTTGGCGCTGTGAGCAGGATTCCGACATTATTCCAACATTAACAGGCGCCATACACCTGTTTTGCTTTTTTTTTTTTTCTGCACTTACTTTATCTGTAATTAGTTTTATTGAAAGAGGTGACATTAATCAACTGTCCCCCCACTTTAGCCACTGATTCATGATAGCATTATTATTATACGCTAAAATTTCTATGTTTTGGGATCTGTTTCTGGGCCATATTATTTTCTATGTTAATTATAATTAGTTTATCAATTCTTACCCTGGATGTGTTCTTTGTTTATTGTTATCTTTACAGCAAATTTCACTGTTCAGTAAGGTAAGTTCCTTTGATTATTCCTTTTTTTTCACACTTTCTTGGATCTTCTCAGAAGACATTCTCCGTTTTTCTAATCAAATATTCCACTTGTTTCCCAGAGTGTTATCATAGAAACAAGACAAATCTTCTCAATTTTAAAAGTATTAGAAAACTTGAAACATATTTATCATTACAACTTTTCATGGATTCATGAGGAACTGTTGAACGTTCTATGATCAGAGCTTGAGATGGCAATTAATTCTATACCAAAGAGGCATGAGTGTGCAGTGCTTGACAAAATGTTTGATAGGGGTTTCCTATAGATGTACGTCAATCACTCTCAGCAAAGATTTTTTCTAAATCCACAGGGCCTGCTGAAATACTTCTCTGCCTCCCTGGTGGCAGATAAAGAACAATAAAAAACACAGGCTTTCATAGACCATGTTATTATTCCAGCTGAAAAAAAATGAAATATGTTGATTCATGCATCAATGAATCTGTTTGTAGTGAATAATATTGTGACCTATGAATCGATGTGGGCTGCCTTTGGAGTCTTCTCCACATCAGGGTTGTTCAAGCTTTGGCTACTGAGTTTGAGAAAGCTGAGGTCCAGCTGTGAAACAGACATTGGGCTTGACAGTGTTATTTATCAGGCAGGGCTAGTTTTTCCTGACTCTGGAGATCAGACTTGGGTAGGGGGAAGGAGGTTTTGGAGGTGGTGAGAGGTCAGTGGGGCTTTGCTGGGGTGTTGTTGGCACAGAGAGACTCTTCAGCCTCCACTCCAGCAAATACCAAAGTGTCCAGGTCCATGTTACAAGCTCTATTCTCTCCTCCCAAAGTAAGAAAATCAAACCCCAAGGGGAGAAAAATAGAATGCTAAGTCCATTTGAGTATTTATTTATAAGTGTAAATTTACTATATAAAGAGTGTTCCAGTCACTGTTTGAGGGCAGATGAAATCCTGCCAGGGTCCAGCTATGCTCAAGTGTCCTCCTAGTTGGTCTCGAGTGAGGTTCCAGACACAGGAGTCAGGAACAGTCCAATAGGAAATTATCCCAATCAACCCTGATCAAGGACAGTTGGTGAAATATACAACTATGTAAAATCTTATACTCATCAAGGATAAGTTGCTTATCCCTCTTACACTTCAGTTTTTCACCTGTAAAATGGGGAGGCATATATCTATCTTTTTACATGCCAGAAATTCTATTTGATAAATAAAACAATGCTTGTTAAACAAATTTATGAAAATTCTAGTTTGTCTATTTGCACACCTTTCTGTCCTTTGAGTCACTCAGAGGCAAGAACAAAACTATTAAGGGCTTGGTTGGGCAAAACACTGATTGTAAAATAGCAATTTTTGATGGCAGTGCTCAAATCGTGCTACCCAAAAGTGTTACAAATTGTAACAATACCATTTGCTGATTAATGACTCCATTAGCTTCTTTCTCTGTGTGACCCAAGACACTTCAAAAAGCAAATATTTTTGCAAGGCCATTTCTTGATGTATTTGTCAAATGAAATGACTCACAGCAGAGCAAGTTCATAGCAGCTGATAGAAAAGCAAAGAGAAGATTCAGCTGTAGGTTGCAAACTGTTGGCTTGAGAACGAAATGGGACTTGCAGATATATTTTGTTGAGCCCCACAGTTTTGGATGGCACTGTGTTGGAAAATGTTTTGAATTGTTATCAACATTTAAAAACTGGAGATTTCACATGAAAACAATTGGACGGAGCCAAGTATCTGCCTCCTTTAGACAGAACTGTTCTTCTTTCAGGTCGCCATAGTCCACACCACTCTCTATTGTCCTCTTCTGGTTCTCATTTACAAAGCCATCTGGTAGTCTGAGTTTGTAACTCCTCTAGTCATTTCAGTTTGTAACCCCTGCCTTAGGATGCCAACGGAGGGGGGAAGGAGTCTCAATTAGAACTGTAAAGATTCCTTGAAGAAAGTCATTGTAAAGAAATCTGGTTCAACATATCTGAGGTAAAATGTTTCTCTTTTAATAAAGCTATTCTTTATAGATCGCATAGTAACAGTCTTTGTTTTGAAATTCTAGTTGAATGGGCTTTCATTTAAATAACAATGGACATATTAAGTTACGATAGCTACTAAAGCTCTGACATGAAAGGAAAAGAATCCACTTTTTCATGGAAACTGGAAACGGCAGCAACTACTAACTGCCTACCAAACTTTGCAAAAAGAAGAATGCGACTTGTGGTGGCAATGAGAGTATTCTTACATCTTAAAACCACTGAAAATTTTAAGGGATTTGCTTGCTATTTACCACCACCTAAAAATTTGGGACAGAGGGCAAGGCAGAATACATATTTAACGTGATTAATACTTTAGAAAGTGTTAGTAGTATCAGCAAGAGACCACTGTTTCACAGCATATTCCCCTGTTCAACAACCAAGAAAGAGGCCCTTTGTGAAACAGAATGTATGTGCACAGTGAGTGGGGAATGTTGGGACAGTGCTGGGGAAAGTGGCCCGATGCAGGGACTTCCAAGGGCTTGCTTGCCTTGTTTTTCTCTAGCCAGTGCTGGAAGTTGACCACCATTTGGTTGTTTCAGACAAGTCCCACTGGCATTTGCATAGTCTCTCCTGGTTATTGTGTGTTTCATCTCAAGGAGTTTAAATTCCTCAGTGACCCCTACAACCAGCTGGCAAGTTTGATTTGCTTTAAATCGTTGACCTCAAATGTGCATATGCAAATGTGCATCATTGCCATCTTTGCATATCCCAGATCATCACATCTGACTAGTAACTTTGGACCAAAAGCTGCAAGAGAGAGCTTGATTCTCTCTTCCCCAAGTAAGAAAACCAACCCTTACCCCTCCAAAAACAATTAATGAAACACAAAGTTGATTTGAGTATTTTATTTATAAATGTACATTTACTATAAAAGCTGTTGCATTTTAGACAACTTTTTATTTTTATTTTTTACTATTTCTCAGAGGCGTTTTAGAATAAATATTTTAAATGAAAGTTAGTGTAACTGATATAGAACATTGGCCCACCCAGAACAGTAACACCTTTTGGACGGACTCACATACGAGGAGGATCATTTCAGTTCTTTAAATCTTACACTGTGTATAGATAACTATAATTTGTATTGCATTAATAACACTACATAGAAAGAATGAGGAAATGTCATGAAAGTTTGCTAGTGAAAAATGAAGAGTTACCCATTTTTTCTTAAGAAAGAGAAGGGACTAGCTTTTGGAGTATGAGAGAAAAAATCATATATACTTCCTCTGGAACAATAAGTCATTCTCTTGCCTCATATGTTTTTTAAACAAACACATTTACATTACAGCTCAACAGAGCAGAGCGTTTTTTTTTCCCCTGGGATCTCAAAGATTATTTGAAAAGAAATAGATCATACTCATTATGCTGCATTGGAAAAAACAAGATCTAGTCTGCCTAAGCTGCCATGTAACAGACTCCAAATGAAATATAAATCAAATATAAATAGAAACAGTTGGCAATTAGAATTTAGAAAATGTTGGAGATTATTCTGTGCTGGTGACTAGTGTTCATTATGGGAAAGCACATTTTGCAGTTGGAGAATGGGGCTTTATTTTTCTTGACTCAATTCTAGCTTCAATACATGTACAATGAGTCTCACTAAGAAATATGTATAAATGAGTTTGTGAAACCAGAAGAGAATGTGCAATATTCATACAATCCTTACATAATGGATAGAGTTCCACATGTATAAAGTATTCTATAAAAATCGGTTATGAATGACCATATTGTACATGTTTTGTGCATTATTTGTGGCAAAGTACTCTGCTAATATCATGCAAAGTGTAAACATCCACATTATCAAAATATTTAATAAAACATGCAGATGGTTAATCAAAATATTGGACTTAATCTGTACATTTTCAAAATTTTTTTCTTTTTCTTTTTAATACTTTTTTTTTCCCAATTATTTTTCCTGTAAAACATCAAACACCTCCATGAGAAGTGTTGGGAACTTGGAAGTGACTTCCTCTCTCTTCAATGTACTGTATCCATAACTCATCACTGACTATGTGCAACAGCTTTGCATTTTCTAAGGCACAATTTTTAATAAAATGATGTGTAAATTTCAATCTAATAACAGCTCATCCAAATGACAAAAATGGTCAAAATACCTCCAGTGGCTGAGGAAGTTTCTGCACCTACATGAAACCCACATGCAAGGAATCATCTAGCATGTAAATAAATAACTGCTAGCCATACTTAATGACACAAGAAATTACTGTATAACAGGAAAACATATACTTGACCTCCTTTTATGACCACATTAGCCCATTAGGAGAGTATCCATAATCTACGTTCACAAAATGTCATCTTCACTTATTTGCCATCATTTTAAGGCAGAATAAATAGTTCCCCCTTCCCCAGTCTTAAAAAATAAACAGCCTGGAGGTCTAAACTGTGATGTTTTTAGTAATTTGATTCCTTCCTTGGCCAGCTGAAACTCATCACACAGAGCAGAAAATAAACCAGCTGTCCAGGAGAGTTCCCCTCTCAACTTCTCCATGAGCAAGGTCCAAGATTCTTGATAGAAGAGAAGGTGACGGAGGAGAATGAAGGAGAGCACATATCTGTTAGAGTGGGCAGGGTACAATTTGAGCAGTAGGTTCTTGCTGGTCACTCACCAGTGGCTTATCACATCATATGCCATTTGGATTCTATTAGGATGGACTTAACGCTTCTCTTTGAATTCCTGTGTTCCGGGCCCTCAAGGAGAACTTCCAGGCAAGGGTGATCACACCTAATGATGGCCCCGTCTTGACGCCTCTTATTTCATGTGCCTCATATTCAGTCTCTTATTGAAGATGCCCAACCTGGTGCCTATAGAGTAGCAAGCAACACAGGCCTCGCGGCTGTGAGTGACCCACCACTCTCTTCAAGATTAAACTTCCCCCCAGGTTTTGTTAATAACTTTGGAAATGATGACAAATATTTCCCTCTGGTTTCTTCCTACCCTTGGGCAATGCCCTAGCCAATATCACAAGGGTTCTCTTTATTTGTCAGGCCAGCCTATATTAACAACATAACTTTCAAGGTACACAAAATCTAATACTAATGGTGCAATAATTTATTGGTATAACTTCTATCTCAAAAGGGAAGTAACACAAATGTTTCAGGATTACATTATATATTAACAGACTAGTGTCTTTGCATTAAAAACAAGTTACAGCTCAGAAACAGAGCTTGCTGTGATGTTTAGTTTCTGAAATGCATCAAATTTATGCTCCTGTCTTAGAAGACCTCATGTCTCAAATTGGCATGTCTTGCACTTCCTGCAGCTCAATTTTGTAAACATAAAGTGTTTAATTCCTAGAAATACTAAAATAAAAAAGGTTTATTGCATCATTTAGCTAATTCCCAAAGAAAAGAATAACACATTTTAAACCTTAAGCCCATTTGACCATGCTAAAACCTTTTTTGAACTATTCAGGGTCATTACAATTCAATATTGTTTTGCATATACTGTGCAAATGCAAAAAAAAAACAAACCAAAAACCCAACAAAACAAAACAGAAAACCAGGAGAAACACAAACACCGTGCTACAGAAGAACAGATACACCTTTCAGAAGAGGCTTTCAAAAATTAAATGAATGCTGAGAAGCCCCTGAACTTGGGATTTTGTTAAGCAATTGCCAGGGGACACCCTCAATGAAGAAATGGTGAGTGAGTCATCTGGAAGCTTGAAAACCACGTCACAATGTTGTAGGTTGGCCAGCACCTGTGACAAAGAAAATAGAGCAACGCTTGGTTAGTCAACATTTCTTGCTTCAGATGTTTTAAAATTTCCCAAATTAGCAATTACCTTTGCCAAAGTCTCTTCCCTCTGAGGAGGAAAAACTTCACCTCTGGGGAGAATGTGGCTACTTAAAGTGTGGTCCCAGGACAAGCAGTACTGGCGTCACTTGTTAGAAATGCAGACTCTTGAGCCCCATCCCAGACCCACTTAGCAAGGTGCCCAGGTGATTCAGATGCACTGTAAAGTTTGATGAGAATGCTTTGGATTCCCCCTAAACCAAATGTTTTCCACCAATTTTTCTACTTTGTTCTCTGGGGCAAATAAGCAAGAAAATAATCTCTTTTCTCTCAGTTTTCTTTAGGTTTTGGTTTCCCTAAGAATAAATACATCATAACTGGAGGAATTCAGGCCGAGCCTGTGGCGCACTTGGGTAAGTGTGGCGCTGGGAGCGCAATAGCGCTCCCACCGCGGGTTCGGATCCTATATAGAGATGACCTGTGCGCTCACAGCGCTCACTGGCTGAGCGCGGTGCGGCCAGTCTCAAAAAAAAGGACAAAAAAAAAAAAATAACTGGAGGAATTTGACATATGATCTAGAAATAGAATTACTAGATTTAGCAAGTAAAAATACAAAACACCCAGTAAAATCTGAATTTTAGATGAACAACACGTAATTCTTTAGTATAAGTATACCCCATGCGATATTTGGGACATACTTGTGCCAGATCCACAGCATGCAATATTTGGGACACACGTATACTAAAAACATTCATTGTTTATTTGAGATTCAAATTTAAAAGGGGAAAAACTTTCCTGGGCATCTTGTATTTTATCTGCAACCCTGTCTAGAAAGGATTGTTTGGGTTCCACATTTCCTGCTGAAGCCTGCACAAGGTTTCTTCTTCTCGTTAAGCACTAGAGTTGTGATGAGGGAATCGCAACATTGGAAAAGACCCCAGGGAGTTTGCCTTAAATGCATTTTATGAGAGTGAATGATGGAACAGAACACCATGTACAAGACACAGTCATCCAACACCCAAGCACAAATGGCACGAGTTAAACATGTGACGGCTTGATTCGTGACAGGTAATTTGTTTTGCAGTTCCATTCCCATTTACATATGAACTTCAAAACTGTTTACATTGCTTTTAGGAATTGCATTTTAATATGCTGTTAGGCTAGTTTTCCCTCCAAGAGAAAAATTTCATTTAAATGTGACTAGTTACTTGGAGAAAATAGAATTATATATTCAGGTTTTATTATTCCATAAAATAAAATTATTTTGTTTCACTTAGAATGCCTATGATGTAAACCACCCTTCACATCTATCCATCTCCTCTCTTCTCAACTCACATCAAAGTTGAATAAAAAAAAGAAAGAAAAATGATTTTTAGCCATTTCTTCCCATTCTGACTCTTTTATTGTATCTGGGATATATTCAAGCAATTCAAGTATATTTATACTTCTCTAGCTAAATTATTATTCCTGCTACTTATTCATTCCTGAAGTATATTTATTTCTTAGGACACCGACAAAGAAATGAGCAATATTTTCAGATGTGCTGGTTATTCTCCCTGTCATGTGTTGACTTAATTAAAATTAGCCTAAAATGATACTAACTTTTATCTGGAAAAATAAACATGGGAGAAGAATTAGGAAAACTTTTGGAAAAAAAATTGGAGAGAATGTGGCTACTATTACCCAATATTAAAACATATTATGAAGCTACAATAATTAAAACCATTCAGTAATGGAGAATAAGTAGGTTAATAAAACATAATAAAATATCCAGAAATGGACCCAAATATATATGGGAACTCAGTTTATGAGAAAGCTGGCATTTCAGATTAGTGAGAAAAAAAGGAATAATTCATTAAGTGATATTCGTACAATTGACTAAATTGAAAGAAAAATAAGGCTGGATATCCTGATTATCACATATTTATACATGAAAAAGAAAACAAGAAACAATTCTAGGAGAAATCTCAGCTAAGTTCATTTATACCCCTGGAAGAGTGAGAGTTTTTCTAAGTAGAACACAAAACCCAGAATCCCAAAAGGAAATAATATACATATATATTCAATTACTTAAAATGAATATCTTTTGTATAAAAATAAATCACAAAGAAAAAAAATAACTGCAATATGCAGCAAATATAACAAAGAGAATATTTCTTTCTTTTTTTTTTATTTTTTAAGATGACCGGTAAGGCGATCTTAACCCTTGACTTGGTGTTGTCAGCACCATGCTCTCCAAAGTGAGCCAACCGGCCATCCCTATATAGGGATCCAAACCCTTAGCTTTGGTGTTATCAGCACCACACTCTCTCCAGTGAGCCCAGGGCTGGCCTGGAAGATTTCTTTTTTTAAAAAAAATTTTCATTGTACATGTTTATGGGGTACAGTTTGTTGTTTCAATACATGCATATACTGTATAACGATCTAATCAGAATAGTGAGCATATCTATCACCTAAACATTTATCATTTCTTTCTGGTTATAACATTCCAGATCATCTTTCCTGGCTATCTTGAAATATGCAATACAATATCATTAGCTATTGTCACCGTAGGGCACCAGAACTTATTCTTCCTACCTAGCTGTAACTTTGTAACTTTGTACCAGTCCACCATATTTCTTTAATTTGCAAAGAACTCATATAAATGGGGTGCCAACTGAAGAACAGGCAAAGGATAGAGATGTACTTTATAGAAAAAGAAATATAAATGGTGAATAAATATATGCAAAATGTTCCAACTCATAATTAAAGAAATACAGATCAAAGCAATGAGGTTTCAAAGCAATGAGGTTCCCCTCTCCCCACCCCCAACCTAGTACAGTGGCAATGTTTAACGTTTGATGATATCCAGAGCTGACATAGGCGGGGAAGAAGAAAGGGGCTCTCTCATACATTTTGCAGAGGGTACACTTTTCTGAACCATAATTAGGCAAGATATCTGAATATTTAAAAAGCACATGCCTTTTAACTCAGCTGTGCTACTGCTCAGAATCTATCCAGTGAAGGTGCTTTCAAGTATTAGAGCATTTAAAAAATACTATTAAAAAACTGGAAACAACCAAAGTGTCCATTCATAGAGAATTATTAGTTTTAAATTATGGAGTTGTATGCATTTATGAAAAAACTAGGCTGGCCCGGTGGCACACTGCTACAGTGCGCCACTTGGGAGCGCGGCGGCGCTCCTGCCGAGGGTTCGGATCCCACATACAGACCGGCCGCTCACTGGCTGAGCGAGGTGTGGGCGCAACACCGAGGGTTGCGATCCCGTTGCTGGTCCCGGTCCAGTACGGGCGCGACACTGAGGGTTGCGATCCGTTGTCGGTCACAAAAAAAGACAAAAAGGAAAAAAAAAAAGAAAAAACTATTAAAAGGAATGAGGAGAAAGAATGTATTATATGGAAAAAATGCCAAGATGTATCATTAAGTTAAACACAACAGCAACAGAAACTAAGTACAGAAAACTGTGGCTGTGAGATCATCACCTCTGTGAAATAAAAACCAACACATATCCAGGCAGATGCGTCATACCCATACGCATCTGTGTGTGCAAGTGTGTGCATTCACATATAAACATACATTCTGCCACTCCCCCCAATAAATTACTAGAAAGCAATTACAGTAGTTTACTTTGGAGATTTTCACTTTTAGTTTGGCATTTTTCTTGATATTTTGATTTTTTAACCTTATACCACTTATAATTTTTATTTATTTATTCTTTTGAATGTCTATAGAAGCATCTAGGCAGAGAGATAATGGACCTTTTTGCTTTCTTCTTAGTATTTCTTAGTATTCTTTAAAAAAATCCTAGCAAAATATTGCATTTAAAGTATAAAATAAACAATGAAAAAAATCTTATCTGAAGTCTACCTCCAAATCACATTCTTATTTTTCATCTTGTTTCAAGAACTCCATGGTTCTTGTCTTTAGATTTGGAATCAAAAGCAGTTAATGCCCTTTATATTTGTATACATGGGAGAAAAATTCCTGGTCTAGATCCAAAAAGCTAATTTCCAAAAGAAATGACAATGAATCACCCAACTTCTTAATCTGGATGAAAACAGTCACTGTCACCCAGAGGTGGGCTCAGGTTTGCTCTCTGTTGGCATCCTTCGAGCACTTTAAATTATGAAGGAAATTCAGATCTATAACACTTTTCAAATCTTCAACAGTCTTTCAACCTAGCAGTGCCCTCTTCTGGTTCCATGATTCACAGTCAGCTGATTTATTAAGGTTAAGAAAAAGAATTATTTATAGAGGATGATAGAAAAAATCACTTTGAATTTTGGGAGAAAAGAGTTTAAGTTTTCCTGTCTAGTGTGTAAAAACAAAACAAACAAAATCCAGTTTAAAGGATATATATATATATATATATATAATTATTATATATTATACATATATATGTATTTGTATATGTATGTTTGTACATATATTTATGATACAATTATAGTGTACTATTTATAACATTTTTAATATACATAAAATACATGGTATAATTATTATATCGTACATATAAAATACATGGTATTATGGTTTAATACTATTTAGTCCAGTTTGATGGCAGCAGCTCTAAGTTGGACCTGTTTTGACCTCAAGTTAAACATTTATCATAGATCAAAACCATCTGGGCTTAATTTTTGTTTCCCATCATTTTATTAATAGGCATGTATTTCTCTGAACATACTAAATCTATAACTATAAAACAACTTAATTTCAATGTTTATTCTTAAAGTCTTCAGTCTCGGGCCGGCCCGGTGGCGCACTGCTACAGTGCGCTGCTTGGGAATCGTGGCGGCGCTCCCGCCCGAGGGTTCGGATCCCACATACAGACCAGTTCCCGCTCACTGGCTGAGCGAGGTGCGGGCGCAACACCGAGGGTTGCGATCCCGTTGCCGGTCCCGGTCTGGTACGGGCGCGACACTGAGGGTTGCGATCCATTGCCGGACACGAAAAAAGACAAAAAAAATAAAAATAAATAAATAAATAAATAAATAAATAAATAAAGTCTTCGGTTTTGCAGATTTAGAGATCCATGTAAAAAGGCTATAAAAATGTTAACTTCACTTACTTTGAGAAATAAGAAAATATTCTTGAAGTTCAAACTCCATCTCTTCACTCCAATTTTTTTAAAAAAGTGTTTCTGACTGATGAATTTGCATGAAAAGGTCCTCTGCAATGTAGATTATCCACCAGGACTATACTTATGATGAAGACCGAGGAAGGATTCAGAGGAAAGCAACTGGCTAGTTTCAGATTTTCCAAACAGCAGCTGGGCAACAGCGCCTCCTGGTGGCCCCAGAACTAACATGAACCTTCTAAGTTAGGCTGCTCAGGGAGCTCCAAGGCAGCAAATACTTGTTGAGCTCTTATATTGTACTCAAGTATTGTGGGGGTGTTCAAGGGGGGAGGATTCACGAAGAAGTATAACCCATTATTTTGTTTCTCCAGGAACTTCCAATTTCTTTGAGAACAAAACCATATTATGTAAGGAAGCTTGTGAATGTAGGGCATGTAGACATTGGGGCGGGGGGGGGGCGCTTGCTGATAAACAGTGGAGAACTGCTCTTGACATTTAACCATCCCAAAGTGCTACCAGTCTTCTCAAGACAGGCCTGAACAAATGAATAGTGTTTCACAGACCTTATAGCTTTCCTTGGGGGGGGGGGGGGGGGGCGCTTGCTGATAAACAGTGGAGAACTGCTCTTGACATTTAACCATCCCAAAGTGCTACCAGTCTTCTCAAGACAGGCCTGAACAAATGAATAGTGTTTCACAGACCTTATAGCTTTCCTTCTGTCTCACCAAAACCGCTGTGGTGAGCGCAGGCAATGTCTCAAGCCTGGTCTACAGTTTTTACTTGCAGGTGTGTTTATGCACTTCTGGATAAAAAGAATTTGTCCACACTGTCGTGGTAAATTCCAGTAAGAGACAAGAGGTAAATAAAGGGTTATTTCATTATCATTTTTTTTAACCTTGATGCTAAGAAACTGTTCTATCAGGGTAGGAGTGTCAACTTATGGGGGAAATATTTAAAATCCTAAATTGGGTCAAATGAAAGATGCGTGACTGCTTCACTCATCTGGAGGTATCCCCCCGTACTTACTTCTGGATCGCAAGTAGCAGTCATTACAGTTTAGAAGACCATTTCGAATCCTAACATCTGTCCCACTCACTGCATCTCCAAGCTGGCCTTTACAAATTCCACACTATAGGGAAAAAGAATAGATGTTGTAAGATGCACAGGAATTGTTTCTTTATAATGCTTAGTTACGGTTTACATGAATAACACAATAATACTTCTACAATCTCCACATTTGTTGAGCATCTATTATGTGTTAGATGCTATACTAAGAATCAACTTACAGCAAAAGTAAATATACCTTTAGCATTTTATCTCAATGCCTTGCATTTTACAGAGAAGGACACTAGCCAAAGAGATTAGTTGACTTTTCCCAAGGTTGTGAAGCTGGTCAGTGGTATCAGGTCGACCCCAAAGCCTATCCTCTTATCCTCTATAATACACTGTTTCTCAACCAAGATGGAAGAACTGTTTTAAACAGATTAAACTCTAGTGGTCTTAAATAAACACAGGGCCAGTGGATTACCAATTGAAATCTATCAATGATCTTTACGTGCTTTCCAGTATTGTTGGTAAATTCTGCCAGATCAGAATTACTGGGAAATAGATATACCATTTTATATTTCCACATTAAAGACTGTGATACCTACAGTAACAAATCCACTGGGAATGGAACTCCTTTCAGCCAAGTCAGCCTGAGTGTAGAGGGAGATTGCAGGATATACTCTGCTTTTTGTACCTGAGAAGGCAGAAGTGGGGGGTTGGCCCAGGTGCCAGCCTCTCGCAGGGGGATGAGGTGCTCTAAGGTCACCTGGGGCACAGGGAGGCCTCATGCAGATTAGATTACAAGTTGTGTCTACATCACAAGGATGGGAGATAAATCTAAGAGGGGAGATAAATCTGAGAGGGATGAATCTTAAAGCCTCAGGCCAGCTTGAGGACATGAATGATTAGAGACAATAAAGGCCTTGACAGCTAAGAAGGCAGGTTTCCTATCCCCTGAGAATCTGCAAAGACCCTTTTGCACCTCAATTACTTTTAGCTCTGATAAGGTTTCTAAGAGCCGTATATGGTGCTGGAATATATTACCTTAGCATAATCATAACATTTTTAAAACTATATTCCTTGAGCTTCAAAACACTCCTAGACACTTTAGGATATACAGTACCTAGGTTCATTTGATGATGAGCATATGTTTGCTTGCCCTTTGTGGAATTGTTCTCTATAGAAATTGTGAATATAGAAAATTGTAGTCTTGGGCCGGCCCATAGGATATACAGTACCTAGGTTCATTTGATGATGAGCATATGTTTGCTTGCCCTTTGTGGAACTGTTCTCTATAGAAATTGTGAATATAGAAAATTGTAGTCTTGGGCCGGCCCAGTGGCGCACTGGAGAGTGCGCCGCTTGGGAGCGCAGCGGCGCTCCCGCTGAGGGTTCGGATCCCATGTGGAGACCGGTTCCCGCTCACTGGCTGAGCGCGGTGCGGGCGCAACACCAAGGGTTGCGATTCCGTTACCGGTCAGTAAAAAAAGACAAAAAGGAAAAAAAAAAAGAAAATTGTAGTCTTATTCTAATATTTTTGATAAATGAAATCTAAAATAAGTATCTACACTGTGTTTTGTTTATGATCAGTCTTACTTTCAAGTGATTACTGGTATTACTAAATTCACAACTTGGGGACAACCTCACTGGCTTTCTCTTAGCTCATACACATAGTAGGAGTTATTTTAAAACCATGCAAATTTACTTTATTAGTCAAGAAAGCTACCAACAAAAAATAGGACAAAATTCAAGAACGAAAAAAAAAAAGCACGTCAGGGTTATACAGAGAAAGAAACAACTCTTATTCAGAAATAGAAGGTTTTGCTTCAAAAATTATATAGTAATTTAAGATGTGTTCATGAGTGGGGAAAAAAGGAGGATATACTGATATAACACAACTTATAAATTTTATAATAAAACAGGTATAACTGGTTAGCTCACCCACTTATCAGCAGGAGATCTGGGACTAGAATCTGGGCCTCCTCATTTTCGGTTTATTCATTAATTCATTCATCTAAAAATATTTATTGATGCCTGCTCTGCTAAGTACAGAGGAAATAGTGGTGAGCAAGACAGACATGGTCCCTGCCCTTATGGAGTTTACAGTTTATTAGAGGAAATGATATTTAAACAATTCAATAATGAGTGATAAGGACCAAATAGTGGTGAGCAAGACAGACATGGTCCCTGCCCTTATGGAGTTTACAGTTTATTAGAGGAGATGATATTTAAACAATTCAATAATGAGTGATAAGGACCGTGAAAGGTCCTGTAAGGACCCATAACAAAGGCAATTGATTTAGCCTGGGTGAGCAGGGCAGCTTCTCAGAGCGAGTGATATTTTATCTGAGATTACTAGTATTCATTCAGAGACCCACAATTTTGCAACTAGCTATAACCACTTGCTTGACAGAAAAATCGTCCATTAGATCAAAAACTGAAACCCTTTGACACCGAGTCACAAGAGTTTAAGAAGCAGCAGCAAAGATGTTCCACTCCAAATAAATGCACATGGCTTGGAAGAATTGTCATCCTCTCAGAGTTCCATTTTCAGCTTCCTGCTAGAGCACATGCTCTTAAGCAACAAAAACTGTTTTGTAAAGACAAACCGCAGCAATCTGTTTTGTTTCTTCTAACCTGACATCCCAGAGGGATTCGTGACAGGAGAGCTCCATCCTGAAGGATGGGTTCCACCCCCACGTCTATACAGCCTGGAGCAAGGAGGCCTCACAGGCAAAGGCATTCAGGATATCCAGGAGGTGTTTCCCAGCTCAGAATGATGACAAAAGACATCACAAAATTGTACTCAGAAGAGCAATGAGTACGTACCCTGAAACACTGGATGTGAAAATAGAGATTGAGGGTCTCGATGATCATCGCAGCTCCTTTACCCAAAGGAAGCCCACAGGAAGAGCACAGTTTCTTCCCGCTTATAGACCTCGGTTTAAAAATACACGTATAATAAAAATCTCAGTTTACAATAGTTGGTCAAACACACAAACATGTAACCTCGTGCAAAAATGAAAACATGCATTTCTAAAATGCTTATATCATGAATGAGATGAGAATTACTGAACTGACAATGAATAGGAAATTAAGCATTAGAGAGAAAGTGCAAGCAACACTGCTAGACTGAATACAATAGATACAATATTGAATCTGGTGTGTGCGTGTAAGTTATTTGTTCCAAGAAGTTTGTGTGGTAGTCTCTTCGAATGCCTTGGAATGATTCAATATTTTTATCACATTTTTGTAAACTCCTAAAAGATAGTTAAATTTAGTTTTACTAAGGTTTTAATGTTGCTTTTCCCATAATCGGCCCACTAAAGCATTTTTGGGGAAGGGATGGTAATAATTTTTTTATTCATTTCTATTTTCTGTTTTAAGATAAAATAATGAAGTAAGCAATTCTATACGGAGCATTGTATAGTCAAAACAAAGCTATGGCAATTTATTCACAGATCTGCAACAACAAAAAAATACATTAGATTTATTTGGGGGAGATATTTTAAAGTAATAATAATGGCCATGGATTGAAAGTCCATTGCACCTATATATGATTTTAAAAAACCTCCTCGCAAACTGTACTAGAAAGGAACTTTATATGACAAAAGGTATCCATACAGGGCATTTATTTTTACTTACTAAGAAAAAAATTTTGTTTATAGAGAGTCAACTGTGATACCACAGAACAAGTGGCAGGCAGAGGGCCCTGAAATACAGGACCTAATCCCTGTTCTGTCACCAAGTTCTTTGATCTGGTGTAAAGAACTCAGTCTGGGTTTTCCTTTCACCTTTAAAATGAGATGATCGGACTAGCTTATCTGTATTACCTCTTCCAGTGCAAACACTCTTTGAATCACCTGTCAGCCCTTTGAGGGCAGGGCTGCATCTACCCCATTCCTGTCTCCCTGCAGCCCCCTGTACACTGCCTACCAATGAACTAGAACCAAACCCAGAAAATCAACCCCAGGTGAGAGGACACGGTCAATAACGCATCTGAAACTAGACGGCTGTCCTCTTAAGGCAGCTTTCATACAACTAAGATCAGACTGCAGTGATGCTATTGTCTGAAAAGCTCTTGGAATTACACAAGAAATTTTAAAATATGCAATATCATTTTAAAGCCAATGCAGTACAGAGGGACAGGAGAAACCGAAAGGAAGACAATAGAAAAGAGAGAGAATTGTCCTAATCAAACCCTATTTATTAGGATTTCCCTCTTATCCAGTAGTTAAATGAAATTTCTACATCAAAGCAAAAACCTCTGAGTACTCAGTAATTTGTCTCTCCAGTGAATGGAAATTCAGGCAGCTTTTAAGAATATCATGGGACCCAATTAATGTCCAGAAGCAATCATTAGAGGGCTAGAGGAGGTTAAGAGAGAAAGATGAAGTTTCCTTTCTTGGCCTCCGCCTGGTTCTCTGTAAGAGCCATCAGCGGATCCTGCCTAGAAGGACAGAGCCGTCTTGGAGGGAGAGGCGCCGACTTAGGAGCCCAGCAATTGTCTGGTGGATTTTATTATTAGATTGCAGGTTCCACACAATGTAATTAAAGCCCTATGGCCACAGCCGTGCCAACGTCACACACTTGACTTTCTCTATTGCAGGCTGATAAATCTGCAGGCAGATGGCGGATGCCTTCCCTCCTCCTGCCTTATGTGTGTGTGTGCAGGAAGAGATGTGCACGGATGAATCTCTCAAAATCACTTGGCGATTGCAGGCTGATAAATCTGCAGGCAGATGGCGGATGCCTTCCCTCCTCCTGCCTTATGTGTATGTGTGCAGGAAGAGATGTGCACGGATGAATCTCTCAAAATCACTTGGCAAGCACTAATTTGGCTGAAATCATGCTCGGGGAGCTCTGTCAAAACAAAGCAGCCTTAGAAAGGCTTGCTGACCTCTTGTACCTGTTTGGTGAGTGGCCTGGAGGGGTGGGAGAACAGGGGGACAGGGGCCCCGCCTGGAAGCTCTCGCGAGGGCTCTTCCTGTAACGTGGTAAAGGAGCCAAGAATTATGACAAGTAAAGAGAAGCCCAATTCCACATGAATTGTAAATTCATTGAAAAGCCATTGTAGATAAGGAAGAAAAAAAAAAATGCTTGACAACCAAATCAGAGACCACAGAGTCTCCTACTGGTAATATTAAAAAAAATTTAAAAAGTAATTCTGTGTAGCAAGGATTGTCTACATAAAATCAAAACCAGGCTGTTGAGCAGAAAAGACAGAATATTTTTCTAACCTTTATTTTTAGTTAAATTATTCTTTAGTTAAAAATGCTGAGTTGTTTTTTCAGTTGTTCACCTAGCTGCTTTTGCATGCTAAGTTAGATATAAAAATTATGGACTCAGTGGGAGGGGAAAGATGCCTAAGGATACAGGGAAAAATTCTTAAAGAGAACCCAGAAATAAAGGGCAGACCCTACAGAAGGTACTTTTCAGTGAGATGGTCTCCACCCTTGTCAACAAATTCTCTGTGGATACATGTGATGTAGGTCAAAATATTTAACAACCCCTATGTCATGGGCATTAACAAATCAGAACGGTCCCCACCAGAAGCTATCAGAATGGTTGTACAGGTACCGTTGGTTGCACACGAGACCAGCCTGTGTTTAAGCTGTCAATTCTGGGCTCTTGCTTTTAAAAGTTAATTTCATTTGTAAAGAATGGGGTAGAACACAGAAAAGAAAAACAGCAACATAGACATGGACAGAGCATGAGTCCATCTGTCTTCTAACTGCTTTCAGCATTAATTCCCTGAGCCCCTGTCCCTCAAATCTCCCTCCTGAGAGTTTGTCTTCTCCAAAATATCACAGTTTCATGTAATACCCTGAAGGGTAAGTACCATTGCTTTAACAAAAAAGGTTGAAAATCATGGCAATAATCAATAACAATAACGATTGTTTCTTTGTGATTTTAGCTTCTATTAATTCTGAGTGTAATATAGACATATAGAAATTAAACTGGATAGACATAAGGTGACAAGGGGAAATTGTTCAAACACTACATTGAGAAATGTAACAAGAAAAATAAGGCAAAAAATTTATTTTTCTCTTATAAAACAAGTTATCATCGTTACCACCTACACTATGTAGTACTTACTATCTGCCAGGCATGAAACCCTATGGGGTGGAAACTAGTATTATTCCAATTTTATAGATGATGAAATAGAGGCAGAGGAAGATTAAGTAACTCGCTCAAGGTCCTATAAGGGCAGGTGGCAAAGCCAAAATTTGAATCCAGGGGGTCTGACTCTAGGTAGAATGATTGGTTATAGGATCATGAATGTTATATTTTTAAAACTATGATTATAAGGAACTTCTGGCTCAAATATGTGGAACTGTGGGTTCACTTTGAGTTCCTCTACCACTTAACCAGTCAAATACTTTGGGTAAATTATTTAACTTTCCT